CGCTGTACTTTTGAACTGGATTTTAGTAGCTACATAGCATAAAATATGTAAATCACAATACTAACTTTTATTTGCCATAGTCCCTTAACTCTTTAATTTTGGTATTTCCAGTTTCTATTCTTTACTTAACGATGCTAACGTAGCTAATTCGCAACTGAAAGTTAAAGTTGCAAACCGTAACTTTTCCTTTTCAACTAGACTTCCTTCTTGGAATATGCCAAATTTGCTTTCCCTCTTCGCTTCTGTCAACTTGCTACAGTCTGCTCTCTTTAAAAATATAAAAGATTCTAAAACCAGGTGCGTTTACTGCTCCAGTTTATTTGTGTTGGCTATAAAAATGTGTGTCAACGAGAAATAAGAAATAAAATTCAGCCACTTCTGTAAGTTTCTTCTCCTTATTATGCTCCAATATCTATCTTCAACAAATTCCAAAGTGTCACAGATATATATTTGACAGTTTAAGGTTGGCAAACCTTCCTCCTAAAATTTGGTTTGGTTTATTTGACTATGGCAAAGCGCTCGAGGGCTTTTAACGGAAACATGTTCATGTTTCATATGGAGAAACACCTTATGCGGCCAGGATTCAATCGCCAAAAACCGAATGCGACCACACCATTAGTATTTGGCAGTCTTGTGGATTTGCAGGCGACACTCGGTGGCCTCCAGTTTAGAAGAGGGTATCTTTAGAGGAGTTTTTAAGGGGAAAATGGTTTATATTTACGTTACGTAGGGAGGGCATTTGTGAAAACACTCACCCTGTCAGCTTATTTCGCTGTCAAGAATCAGTGTTTTTTTTAATCGTTTTCAGACCACTTTTTTTTAAAGTTTACATTTAAAAAGATTTTAAAATTATTAAATTATTTTATTAAAATAAATGAATTTATGGAGTTAGGTTACAACCTTTATCTACACGAAAAGAAACAATTTGTGGGGGGGAGGGCGTTAAATGCTTATCATGGATGCGGTGAAATCTTTGATATCATTATATTGCCTTAACCTGGTACTTATCACTTGTGTAACATCGCAAACAGCTACTAGTTCTGTAAATCGACAGGGTATAACTTCTGTAGTTTATTTTTGAAACCATTATTGCAGTTGCTTAAGAAAATGCGATACAAGAGCAATGAACGCAATTCTTATAAATAATATATCTAATTGATATAATTTACAAAACATCCAACTGATAATCTTTATGAGTATTTGCTCGATTATTATAATTAATAAAAGATATTCCCAACGCCACAGATGTACCTTAGTATAAAATATATCGAAAGAAAAATAAAAACAGATGACATCTTAGCAGTTGGATTACATACTAAATTTTTTCTGTGTGTTCTAGAATGCAATAACAAATTTTCAACAGATGACTGATAATCAGTCAAACATCTCATTATTAGCAATTAAAATATACAGGGTGTTCTGTTAACGCGACGACAAATTCAGAGGATTACAATAAACATCAAGAGGAATAATAATTGCCATGGAACGTGCTATTGCAAACCACGTTTAGTTAATAAAAATCGCGAAAATAACGCAGGGTTTGACGTTGAGAGAAAAGGGAAGGCGGGAGCCGATTGATCGCCGATTTCGTTCGCAAGTTGGCTCACCACATGGACCTTATAAGAGACCTTTCTTATAAAGTCCATGGCTCACCATGTCTGACGTCAGCAATGTTGCGAAGCGAATGCGCTGAAGCAGGGATATGAGGCAAAGAATATGCACACAAAAGAATGGGCGCTGGAGACGAAAGGTGGCACATAAGAAGCAAGTCTTCTCTTAAAGAAAACGAATTCTTTTAATAATAGTTACTTGGCTGATTTAATTAATTACCATAAAACATCACAGAGCTACCTCCTAAGAAAATATACTTTTATGACTTCCTTTCGCGTTACACTTGAAGTAACTACTGTTGTTTTGAGGTGTAACCACTGGATTACTGGTGAGCCTTAAAAAAGGCTAATAAATAGCTAGTGGAGAACTAGTTAAGCATTTATAAAGCTAATGAAAGAACTTGGGAAGAAAACATTTTATTAAGCTTAAGTACTATTTGCTTAATAAACATTCTTTTAAATTTCGATATTAATAACTCAGTAAACTTAACTATGAACGCATCTCTGGAATGATGATTATTTTTTGACAATTTGAAGCACTCAAATTTTTTGTTCTTCAGTAGTATATCGCACTTCGCATCACTGTATTTGTCGGCACCTGCACCTCAGCCATTTAGCCATGTAACCTGTGATATAGTACAGAGTTGTCGCTGACGGCGTACGAGAGAGAACGGTTCAAGTTAATGACTGCGCGCGCATCTGTGCTGCTATGATGAGTCGTGTTTCCGAATCACATAGAGGCCATGCGCGCCTTCTTTATTGAGAACATGAAGTTCTAGATAAATCCGAGGAGGAGAATTTACTTTATTGCATTCTATTGCGTGAATAAACAAAATTAAAAATCTAAAGTAATTTTTTATCTCATTTTAAGATGTGCCAGCTAGAATATTTTGCATAAACATCTCTCAAGCTGTCACTGTGATGTAAGAAAAATGTATTTTACATTTTTCAAATCATATGGGAGAACAGAATAATGCATGTTTCATATCTTCGAATTTTTTAAATTCCAGTAATCATGACTTAACTACGTACTTCTAAACAGCACTTCACACCGTACTACTTGCTGCCGTCAATATGACCGGCTGAGGCATCTCGCTATATATATCTCACACTTATGATACTGCCAGGCTAAAACCTTAAGGAAGATACATATTGAACAGGAATAAACTCAACATATATAACATGGCCGTAAAATTTCTTTATGTTTTTAGACAGCAGTTCTAGCATACATGTGATTTTAATCATATATTTCTTTTAAAAACTTGATTAAAATTAAATTTTTTCATTAAAAATGAGTATTGTTTCAAGGATTTTCATAAAAATTAAACGATTCTTGAGGATATAAATGAGAAATACCTATTAAAACTTTTAATGCATTCCATTTTAAGCAATAAAGAAAGCTTATTTTACTCATTTCTTCATTAATTTTGTCTTTGTAAAGCGCAGAATCCTTTAAATTCAAAATGCAAAAGATTCCTCAATCTCCTCCTTAAATTTTAAACTTACCGTAATATTTGTGGAAGGGAAACGCTATTAAATAAAAATTATTTGCTTATTCGCTTCTCAGGCAGAAACAGAAGGGCAGTCACTACTGCTACTATTATGCAGAACAATAAACTTGTCTGGAGCTTTCTTTCGTCGCCAGTGTTTGGCAATAGGATTTCACTTGAGTAGGGAATTTAAAACAGTTGCTGATTTCCATTGCAAGGCCTGGAGAAAGAGGGAATTATACTCTTTGCCTTGGCAATGTTACATACTTGACTTAACTTCAGGGAACAGTAGGAACAGTGAATTTTAGAAATGACTCATCTGAGTTCCCTGTCTACCGGCCTGTTTGCCAAGGCCACTGGATTCTCCCTTTCCCCCCCACGCATTTCCAAATTTGAAATTCGGCCATTTGTTCCTTGTTTTACAATTTCTACAAATATTTATTCAATTACTTTTTTAAGAGACCAAGGATTTGACCACCTTTGAATCTATATCTGGAAGACCAATATTTTTACAAGGACTGAAAGAAACTAAACGAAGCATGGTGAGCAAGATGAGGTAAACAAAAGAAAATAATCCTTGTTAGGGTGGATAAGGAATGAACAGGGATTTTAAAACTTTCATCTATTTGAAATGCAAACCAACAATGCGACAATGTGTTTTTAAACAGCAAAATTAAGCCAAAAAAACAGTCTGAAGCAACAATTTCCCCCTAAAACAATCGTTTTTGGGAGAGATTCAAATAAGACAAATAGATTCAAAAGGGGACGATAAAAATTTTGTTTCTGAAAAAAAAATTCGTATGTTCGTCTTTATATGTAGAGTTTAAAATTTTTTAAGCTTTTTTTCCCACCAGTAACAATATGACATGCTTATTTATCTAAGTAGTAAGACCCTTCACATAAACTGTAGGGTTTAACTGTGTAATATTAACTAAAAGTTATTCAGACTCTATTAGACTGCCAATTGAATTATCCTTGCATCTGTAAACGTACGACCAAGTATTATGAAGGTTTTAAACAACCTCTTTTCATTATTTATTTAAGCTTTGACTTAAAGAGAAGAAAGAACTAGTGCTCACAATCGAAAATCGAAACTTCGCCGCATGCAAGAATTAAAACAACAAAATTGGATTTACAATTTAAAAAAGGTCGAAGTTGGAAAATACGGGAATATTAATTGGTAAAGGTGGGCGATGGAAAAGTAAAGTTGCAAGCGTCGCTGCCAAAAGGTCTATCTGAATATTAGCCTTAAATACTCCTAACTCATTTGCATCCTGGTGGGGCTAACGGTAAGGAGATAGTTATAGTAATGATCCAAATCATCAAAAAGTTTTAATTAACATTAAATATCTTATAAATTAAGAACCAAATATCGGTACGCCAAATTAAAGATATAAAGTAATTTTTTATCTCATTTTAAGATGTGCCAGCTAGAATATTTTGCATAAACATCTCTCAAGCTGTCACTGTAATGTAAGAAAAATAACAAAATGATTAAATATTTTGAGTTACTTTTTACCAATTAGATGCTTCTCTTGATAAAAATTAATCCAAACTTTGCCAAAGTTGGCAGCTTGAATAAAAGAAATAATACCAAATGAACAACTTTTAAATTAAAATACGCATTCCAAATATTAGCAAAATAAATAAATTTCGTTCGATTAATTTACTGAACTAAGAAGTTACTAAGAGTAAGCAAAATTCATTTGCATGCGATCACACTTAAAACAGAATTCCAAAAGCTTTCAGTTTCACAAATATTAAAAATCTTACCTTGGCACACATGAAATTCATAGTTCATTAAATCTAGAACATTTATAATACAAAAAAGAAATAATAAATGGCTTTTGAAACTGGAAAATTCTAAAGCAAAACAAATAAAATGCTCAGAATTACTTACTTTACCAAAACTGCCTTTTCCTAGTAACTTGAGGAACACAAAATCATCTATTTCATATTTTCGAAACCTTAGCGTTTTCGGTGTACTTTCTTTTGTTGGACTTTTGCCCTCATCTTCAAGAGACGATGTCGAAAAAGTAGTGCATGTAGTTGACGATGAAAGAGATGAATATATTGAGGCGTTCGATGTCTGACTTCTCGTTCGAGATTTTTCGTCCCGATCAGGAGATTTTCCTACATCAGAAGGGCAATTTAGAAAGTAATATATAATGAAAAAAGATTACATTCAATACTACAGTAAAATCAAATGAAATTCTTTAGAGTTAGGAAATGCGCGTGGGTAGCCCAAAGTGAATTAAAAGTAACCCATAAAAATACCAGCATTAGAAACTGATGTGAAATAAACTTTATAATGCTATATTACGCTTTCAAATGTCTAAATTTTCACATAGTAAAATAAATTCTTAACGCGTATGTAAGGAGAGAATTTACATTGTGTAGTAATTCAAAATTAGAGATTTCATGCTATTCCGAAACGCTTTTTTTACAGAGAATTATGAGCAAACAAACCAAAAATTTCAGTTTAAATTTTAATCTTTGTTCTTAGAACATAAAAGTACATACTTAAGGATATTTTGAAAAGTCCGTTTCAAAGGCAAAATAAGGCTTTAGAAATATTATGAAATGCTCACCGATAAAACTGCTGCATCGAAATTAAATAAAATCAACAGTATGAATTTTTTCAAAATATGACGTAAGCTATATGAGATATACAAATTACGCACTAGTGTTATATATAAGCAAATGTATGATCATAAAAAAAATGAGCATGTTAATGCTCACTGATTTCTTTGCTGGTAACCAAAATTTATTATAGATGCTACAAATATGAATAAGCAGTATTTTACACACTTGTAAAAAAATGCAATAATACAATGTTTAAATGTATTTAGATAGAGGAAATTGCAGAACAAAGATGAGACTGAGAAATGAATAAGCTCAAATTTCACAAGAAAATTACTAATATGAAAAGTCACATAAAAAATATTAATTTAAAACAAAGGCGCAAGATATTAATCCCAAAGAAAGTGAGCTGAAAATGTCATAAACCGGGAAAAGTAAATCGAATGATTTAGGTATAGATCAAATTCATAGAATGAAACTAAGTGCAACAGAATTAAAGAATGATTATTTAAATACTGAATAAATAAGGCTGAATACCAGAAAGTAGAAATAAAAGCAGTCAAAGAAAGCTGAGGAAAGGCAAAAGTAAGCTTGAAAAGAACATTTAAAAGAATGATAAACGGTTATGTTATCAAATGATTGCTGGTTCTTTCACAGCACAGTAGACTAACCTTTCCTTACTGTTTCCAAAACCTCACACAGCAGTTTCTGGTTGACGCCGCATAAATTTGGCATGTGCCTTTCACACTTCTGGTGACAAGTTACATTACATTCTGTTGACAGAAGAAAAGAAACACTTTTATGATCCGGCTACGTTAACATGCAAAGAATTCCCCGCGAATGAATGTAGTTCAATACAACATGTTTAAAAATAAACACAACCGAATTACCTGAGTTGAGGTCTCATTTGTTTTAATTTTTGAACTGCCTTTAATATATATTTTTATTTTGAATAGCTATAAAATGTTTTGACAATTAATTCCTCGGAATAAATACAATCTAAGTCGTAAATCTTATTTATAAAATAGATGCAGGGCACTAACAAAAGGATGGAGTACTTTGTTATGAAAAAAACAGACATTACTTTTAATAGTCTTTAAGAAGTTCCATTAATAGTAGAATATGAGACATGTTTAAAATAAAAGTACTCATAGCTAAGGTAGGCTTATTCGAATAAGAGTAAGTATTAAAGTCTCCAACTCTACTTATCAGGGTGTGGGTTTTGCTTTGGGAGGCAGACAACTCCCGAATGCTAACAAAATCAAAATGTGTCGCATTTAGACAAATTCCTTGGATATAACAGCATATAACAACACAAATGTTCATAAAATCCAATCCCTGTAAAACAATATACATAAAATAGAGCAGAGTGTATAGGACAATGTTGACAGTATTATTTTTTTTCTATGATACTTAGAAAATGGTTAGCTTAGCTGCTTATAGCTTAGCCTAGCTCACCCCACAGCGTTATGTAATGAATTTCTGATAGCGCTGTAAAGTTTAGATATGAGTTTTATTAACCAATTAAAATCCTTATGCCGCTTTATTTCTTTTAATCTGTGTTTTCTTAATCACATCACTTACCCCAGAATTATGTGTATAACTGGGTATAAAACACGATACGAATCGTTAGAATTAGTGCAGTACAGCATTATGATCTGAACTGCTAAGCTACTACATCAGTGTCTTGCTTTGCTATGAAGCTAATTTTAGTCGTGAATAAAACTCCATCGAAAGCTCTTCTATGGTTATGGCATGTGAAATTAAATTTAGGTTCTTTTAAGTTGCAGATGGCAAACGTTAGTTAAAAAAGGTCGAATATTTTTTTAATATAACGATGCTAATTATTGTCCTTTCCATATAGATATGTTTGTGCCTGAAAGCTGCAAAATTTATATGCATATTAATTTGTAAAGCAAATGGTTCACCAGTTATCAATATATATATATATATATTTACTATTGTTCATTTGAAATGCATTGGACTAGATTTATTAATTCAGGCAAAGCGTAAAAAGGATTACCCGACAACGAAGCAATCTGCCTTTGCGCGGGATATTTGAAAAAACTAATCCGTATTTATATCTTACACAGGGGGACCACCACAAAAGCCCCACACATATCGTTTCATTAAGAACATAATTCACGACGGACTAATAATGTTTTGTGAATTTTTTCTCTTATCCACTGCTTCACTGTTCTTTTACTCTAGTACAAGTTAAATAGCTAAAGTTCCCTGATGCTTTACAACATTGCTACAAAATGCATTGCTTATGTATTTAAATTTCGATGATATACAAGTACAACATCCCGATTACATGTTGCGAAAAATCGTTGAAACATTTTTACATAATTATGAAGCAGAATAACTTTCAGTAAAGGGTTTCAATTTAAAATAAGATCTATGCGGTTTTCGAGCAGACATGAAAATGTCTCTTGCTGAAATTCTGAGCTTAGTGAAATGCTGTATGTTCTTATTGAAATTCTGAGCACTTAAAGAAGCAAACGTCTATGAGTCTTTAAAATAATATTCTTTCAAATACATTAGTAATTTACATACATACCAAACTCACCAAGCCTTTTTCTTCTCTTTTTCTGTATTTACAAATACTAAGTATGTCCACTTTTGCTATTGCGATAGGCTATATGTCATTGAGAGGATTTACTTGTACATATCGTAAGACTAGTTGATGTCCCAGTAAATTATCGACTTTATTTACTTCAATAAGACGGTTATCTATCTCAGTACCACACAACATCAACACAAGGATGTGTGAGTATATCAATGAAATTTTGCCACAAAGGTGATCTGACACACGTATAGGCGAAATGGACTGTCACATACATATCTGTGTATCAGCAAAAGCTGACTTATTGGGTATTTCATAGTACAAAAATTGTTAAACCTCTCTCCATTGTAATATAATAAACGTTGCTACCACTTGCGTAGTTTGTTTCAGTGAAAAGATAGCCACCGATTGTTTCAAACCATTTTAGACAAATGGAAAAATGATCGCCTTAGATGATGGCTGAAGTGATGCATCCATGTTTGCTATTCTCAGAAATTATGGCTACTTTCGGATGTGAGCGTTTTTGGAAGATGGTCCTCAAAAGTTTTACTCTACTTTTAATGCTAAGATAATATTTATTTAACATTAAATTAAATGATTTTTGCTAGAATAAAAAAATCGGAAAGATTTCTCGTTTCTTTGTTAATTAGTCAAACAGCAGCTCCCGTATTTTGCCGCCCTACGTGATCGCATACTTTCTCCAAATGCAAAAGCCAGCCCTGTACATAATTAATCTTCTGCACACTATAGGCTCTTCTACATAGGAAGTATACGCTTCAACTTCACTGGACAGAGCTACGCTGTTCTGAATATTGATACAAAATAATGACTGCCAGCGTGTTTTTAATGAAAAAGTTCTTTTTAATGATTTTTCCCTTACATAAAATGCTCTAATCACATTTCTCCATTGTAATCCAAATATTATTTCGAAGTACAAACTCTGTAATGCGATAAACATCAACTAGGAATGGTCTTTAAAATTTTAATAATATCCTTTCACTGCTATTGGATCTAATGTGGACGAGATTAAATGATGCGAATAATCTATTATTATGGGACATTTCCTTTCTTCGCCAGGATTTGCCATACAAGAATACAGCTTGTAGCAAGTAATTGATTAGAGCAAATAACTCGAAGGCAAGTAAGAAGGAAGTCATGAAAGAACATTTTAAAAGAAGCTGCTGGGAAAAGGTACTGACCTTACATTTATATAATTTCTGGAGCCAGTTAGTTAGCAGCTGGAAATCGAGTCTAGGACGAAATTACCAGAGTTTGGGATTTTGTTTGTAGAGCAATTAAGGTAGCTTGATGGACTACAGTTTGTATCAAAAACATAATTTAGAATTATTTAATAGCTAAAAGTCATGTTTATGATGCCTACGCCCTTCATGAAAAAAATTAATACAGTACATTTAAACGAGAAATGCGATATATTTGTTCGTATCCTGTCAAATTCTATAAGAATCGGGATGTGATATACGATAAAATGTCTCTCCCATCTCAAGCAATGAATGATGACATAATGAAAAATTAGATTTTTAAGTATGGTTGGTTAATTTGCTATAGCAATGCGCGCGAAGGTTATCTGCCTTATGAGAGATTACTTCGCGAAGGCTTTCGTAGGGAAATTAGCTTGTATTCAAGTTAGACATACAGGAATTAAAGAAAATACTATACAGCCAGCCGTTTTGCACAGAGCAGTCCAGGAACGAATTGCTGGAGCCCAGCACCAAGCTTAAGCACGCAGTGTATTGTCAAAAACTAATGATGAATATGACATCCTAGTACATTTTCGTTTGCTCTTCCTGATTGCCGAACGTCTCATTTCATATAGTACATGGCCCATTATTAACTAAACAGATAAGGCCACTAACCCTGATATTCATTGCTGATTTCATCACCGGTTATGTTACCGATATCCAAAGGACTAAATCTGGGTAGTGGCTATCGAACTAAGGAGAGCTTAACAGTAAATATCCCATATTTCCTTCGTGTGCTTTGCCTCCTTTCATTGGGGAAATCATGAGAATTGCCATGCAGCCAGCCAGTCCAGACTTTCAATCCGGGTCGAACTATCAATGTTCAATGCTGGTGGGCTGACCGATACCAGAAATCTATGATTTTGTTTTTTTTATGTGTAACATGAATACGATGTGAAGTTTCCTTAGAAAGTCCTCCGCAAAGGCATTCTTTCTATGCCAGATCGCCCTTGAGTACTTTGTTGTAATTGATAACACTATTAAGCTCATGTCACCTGCATACAAATTGCTTTCTCTAATTAAATTCCCAAATAAAATGGCTATTTATGTTGGGATACCAGAAAATCGTCAATAAAATATAAAACAGAAAAATGTGTATTTTGCCTGAATAATTTAAAGACAGATGGAAATTTTTAAAGAGATTTTAAGCTATTAAAATAAGTATGAAAACTAGGGAAAATTGATTTCTTGAGGAATATTTACGAAATACCCCACGTAAAACTTCTCCGAATAATAGAAAAATAATAGTTCAAAAATATCGAAAAATATGTATGATCAATGATACTTAATTACACACTATATTATCTGGGTAACAGAACTGTTAAAATAAAAATCAAATTTGAAATTGGTGCATACGTCATCCGAGAGCTTTTATGAACACCGCAGTAATAAAGACAATGATCAGCTTTCTAGATGCATAATGTTGCTTCAAATAATTACAACGTGTATTGATGATGACAAAACTACACTGCTAGACAATTAATTGAAGACGGATGAAAGTAGTAGTGATAGCAACACAAAATAGAAGGCTGGAAAACAACATAAGTGTAAGACGTGTTGTGCATATGCAAATTTTGGATTTCCGCAGTTTTCCGTCACATGGTACGCTGATGAACGAGGTAAAGGATTTGATGCATATTGACTTTTGTTGTTCAAAATCAAAATTTAATGGAAAATAATCAATTGAACTTGCAATATTCGGTATGTCTTCACTACATCACTTAGATGAGTTTAAGCGTGGCCGTATTATTGGCAAGATTGAAGAAGAGCGAAAAATAACAGATGTTGCTAGGGAGTTCAACGTCAGCCACAGTGTTATTTCAAGGCTGTGGAAATTATTTAAAACAAACGGGATATGTAGCAAACGTCACGGGGAGGTTGTATTCAAAGCACGACGCCGGAAGAAGATAGATACACAGTGCTATTGACAAAAAGAACCGGCGCA